GTTATTGTACCAAGCACAATCCTTTCGACATAGAAAGCTACCAATGTACCAAACCCCATAATTATGTTAGTTATAGTTAGACTCAGAAAGCTACCAATGCACCAAACCCAATCTGTTAGCCTGTTGGACATGGAAAACTAGCATTGCACCAAGCACAATCTGTTAGCTTGTTCTACACATAAAACTGCCATGGTACCAAGTTCAATCTGTTCAATCAATACAGTCATCCCTACAAATCATTGGTTTTGTGTCACAATCTGCTCACTAGTTGGCCATCAATGGTCACCCCACCCAATTTGTCATATTTTCAAGCTGATATTGCTAACAACAGATGACCAATAATTCGCTTTTCATTCATTTCCATATATCTATTATATTCATCAAACTAATGAATAGTTGTGTGTGTTTTATGAGTTCATATGAATAATATATAGACTTGTTCAATATTTTATATTGTTGGTTGCTATGCCAAGCTTTTCTGGAGAAATAAATAGCAGTATATTTCACAATGAGGTATATGACTGATATACATTCTAATATTAAGTAGGCCTATTTGATATACATTGTTTATCAAAAGAATTATCAGAAAAGTATTTTTCAACAAAAAGACCATGATAAAACGTAAATAAGAATATCGACAGATGTTATTTTATGATTCAATATTGAAACTATTAATTTGGAGTGAAAAAACCTCTTCCCTCTTGACTAATCAGTCATTAAAATTCTTCTGTTATACAGGTATGATGAACCGTTTGATTTTAAACTAATCAGTTATAGTGTTCACAGCTCGCCGTCAAAGTTTGAGTCTTCAATTACATGTGTATCAAGAATTATCCATGTTTGAAAGTTAAACATTAAACATCAGGTTCATAAAGACGGGCCTCGATTCCTATGTCTTTTCCATGAACAAACGGAGGCTTTTTCCATGTCACCTGACGAGCATCAGAAAACTTGTCCTCTGATTGTAGTATTTATAACTGTAATTTGTAATGAATATTACTATAACGACTAGTGATAATGATACTGATGAATATTCTGATCAAGATTATATTCATGTATTTTATCTAGCCATATAAACATATTACACCAGTGACGTTGTGTCATTAACTATCCAAATAAATTCAAAGTGTGTCGATTGGGATATACTAGGCTAAAGATCTGTTCATACTGACAACATTTCCAATTACATCTAGGCAACACACTCAGGCAACAAAAACATGTGGGCCAGGAGCAGTTCTAGAAAATTCCTCAAAAGGGGGGGGGGGGGGGGGTGCAAAATCTGAGGCGTCTTTCCAAGGCGAGGCCTCGTAAAATTCATGAATTATCCATTGATTTTTCGCAGGTCTAAGATAAATCATTTGGTTCATAGCCCATTTCTGATTGGATAGAACTCGTCATTTACATCTCGTTAACAAAATTATTCATTTCAGAGACAGAGACACCGCATGATCCTGAAATGTAGGCCCTCATACTTACAACCTTTTCACTTGTAATAGAGACTTTTCCCCGAACAAGTTACCGAAAATATTGTCAGTGTACATTGTATAATATTTGTTAAAACAACTTAATCTCAATGATGTACTATAAAATTTCTTGCTTCCTTTATGTACAAATTATGTGTATTTACCAAGGGAGATGTTGCATAGTGTTTATTAGACCGATGCATATTAAACAACAATTTTCAACAATTGAAAATATCAGAATAGTAAGCATTACCTTTATCAAAGACCTTACATCAAGTTCTTTGATATGGCTTCCTCTTCCTCACTTTTTTACATTAGAATATTAATATCTCCAAAAAATAATCCTTTTTTAATCCACAATTAACAGAGACAAAAAGTGGGCTCAACTCATCAAGTTCTAACAGTCAAAAATACACACGAAATAAAGCACTCAAAACTTTTTATTAAATGAAATGAACGTGTGTTTCAAGTTTTACTTTTCACTTTCCTGCTCCAGACTGTTGTGATGAAGACAGACAATATTGTCACGTGACCATAATTTACAACGTATATCCCCTTCACAATAGTCCCATAATTACTGCATAATAGTACAACAGACAGCGCACAATACTATTATATCACTAATAAATTTCACAGTGTTTTTAGCAAGGACAAAAGGAAATGACAAGATAACCTCTCTCACACCGAACTAAACCCAGGTATAAAGTAAGTATTTATCAGGTCCAGGTATGGTTTAAACATTGTGACAGTTAATAAATTGTAATCCATCAAAAGTCGTCAAGCTAGTCATCAATCACGTTATCTCAACTCTACAACATGTTGACTGTCAAAAATAATTACATTTATCAAAGTCATCGGTACATTGACAAACGCAGACACATAGACGTTTATATGAGGGAGTGGGGGAGGGAGGGTTTGCCATATAACAGTGAAAAACACTAAATATTAAAAAGGATATATCTTATTCAAATCCCATACCCCTCCCATATTAGGCCTTCTTCCCGTCAACCACTCTTTACGTGGTTTTTTTTTTGGGGGGGGGGGGGGGGGGGGGGGGGGGAAATTAAACCCCAAAAAATTTTTTTTTTTTTAAAAAAAAAACCAAAAAAGGGTTTTTCCTCCCGTTTTAATTGAAATTTTTTTTTTTTCCCCCCACAA